TAAGTTTTTTAACAAAGATATTAAAACTCACCCTCATGCTGAAAGCATTAGCGTTTCTGTGTTTATTCCTTAAACGGCGTTTTAAAAGTCCGTGTTTCTGCATTATATATGGCAGCATCCTTCTGATGAAGCATCCCGAATCCTCCTTTCTCATCCAGTTCTGAGGCATGGAACCTTCCCGTTCAGTACGTGTTGCATTCACCCTCCACGGCGGGCCCTGGGGATGGAGCCTGGGGAAGGGTGGGCGGTTTCCTGTGCAGAAGTATGTGCGTGAGCAGGCGCAGACTGCAAGGGCCTGGCTGGGGCCAGAGCACTGTGCCTCACCCGGCCTCGCCTGGGCCTCGCCTGGGTTGCACCTAGCCTCGTGGGCCTGGCGGCTGGCGTGGGGAACCCCAGCAGAGTGCAGTGTGGGCCGTGAGCAGCACCCCAGTGAGTGTGGCAGAGTGCCGGCATCGCTCCGTCTCACCTTAGCCCTTTCACCTTGTCTACGTTGGTTCAGTCCGATTTTTTAAAAAGACTCTGGCCTCCTGAAACCAAGTGGGTACCCTCTCCATGTGAAGCCACCCCAGGGGTTTTGTGTCAGTGAGCCGTGGCCTTGGTCCCTCGGGCTAACAGCGTTTTAGGCTTTGGGAACCAGACTCTTCCTTAGAGCTCGGATTTACAACTAGCAGTGAGGAAGGGGCTCCAAGGAGGCCACTGGGCAGGATGGAATGGCACCAAGTGATAAGAAGGGCCATGAAACAGGCACTGAGTTCCCGGGATACAGGACATTATCTTCACACGTATTCTGGAGGTGTCTTTACAAGGACAAACGCCCCAGAACTTTCACAGCCCTTGGAATGTGCTGATCAGAGGTGGACTGCCAGGAACCCAGATTGACAGGAGGCAGGTGAGTGGTAAGCGGAGGCTGACAGGTGCTGCGGGTCCCGGAGACTTCGCCAGTGAGAAGCATCCGCCGGCCACCTGGCAGCCCCTGCCCCACCCCCAGCNACGAAGCCCCCATCTGGAAGGAGTCACAGCCGGGTTGGGGAAGTTCACAGGTGGAGGGGCTTGGGGTGGGGATGCGCAGCTCCCAGGCTCCAGCCCCTCAAGGGCTGATGAAGTGGACCAGCTACCTGCAGCTGCATGACATGCTTCTCCCACGTAATGGCTCAGAACAACAGCCACTTAGGAGCTCATGATTTTGCCAGCTGGGCTGGGCCAGGGTCCTCCTGCTGGTCTTGCCAGTGGTCATTCATGTGACTACAGCCAGCTGGCCAGTGGCCTGCCTGGGATGGCTCAGCCAGGGTCACAGGCAGGGTCTTCCTGTCACTTGGTTTCTCTTCCGTGTGGTCTCTGGGCCTCTCCCCCACAGTGTGGCCACACTTCCGATGGGACCTCTGGTTCCCTGAGAGCACCACAGTGGGAGTGCCCAGGCTTCTTTGGCTCAACCCAGCACTGGTGCAGCACCATGTTCACCGCAGTCTGTGGGTTGGGGCAAGTCCCCGCCCACCCCGATCCAAGGGGAGGGACTGCACAGGGGCGTGACCGCCGGAGGCAGAGGTCACCCGGAGTTACAAGGGGACCCATGTGCACAGGAAGAGCTGGTCAGACCCAGGGAAGAGCAGCGGGTGGGCAGGGTGAGAGGAGCCAGGCAGAAGGAGAGTCTGGGCGGAGTGAGGGGGTGGGCATCCTGTGACTCGTGGGCCATGTCTGTGCTCCAACAGGAAGTGAGAGCGCAGCCCTTAGAGCAGTGTTAGTAGGTGAAACCACGTGTCTTGGGTGTGGAGTGGGCGTGTGGGGCGAGGAGTGGAAGTGGGCGCCCAGCTTCTTAGGCTGGAGGTGCCGCGTGGTGGGCAGGGAGCTGCAGGTGGCTGTGTCCATAGAAAGGATGGCTTACGTTACACTGGAAAACACTTTAGCAAACTAGAGGACCGAGAAAGTCTGATGTCTGCCTCTTTTCCCCCAAAAAAGACCCACTGCTGAGATTAAGGGGTTTCTCAGGCCACATTTGGTGGGAGCAGGTTGGAGAATTCACCAGGGGGCTTTGGCTCACCAACCCCGCCTTGCCCCCACTCTCTTCAACCAGAGAGATTAAGGGGTTTCTCAGGCCACATTTGGTGGGAGCAGGTTGGAGAATTCACCAGGGGGCTCTGGCTCACCAACCCCGCCTTGCCCCCACTCTCTTCAACCAGATGGCACCAGTGTTACCTGTTGGTATTGATTGGGCTTCTGCTGCTGCTTTAGAAAGATTTGAAAATTGCTTGTTCAGAGAAAAGGGTGTCATGAAAACCACTGGTCCACATGCTGGCCTGCCCGGGAGGATGGCAAGGCCAGGACACTCACATTAGAAAGATTTGAAAATTGCTTGTTCAGAGAAAAGGGTGTCATGAAAACCACTGGTCCACACGCTGGCCTGCCCGGGAGGATGGCAAGGCCAGGACACTCACGCCACAGGCTGCCTCAGCTCTCATGCACGGCACACATGCGCATGTCCAACGTCAGCCCATATTTATCATCAGGCAGTTTTTAGATTGCCTCTAGAATCCAGCTATGGAAAACTCTTGGGTCTTTCCCGCACTTGGGGTTTGCGCCCATGTGGTGTAGACTTTTGTGTTGTCCATTGTCAGGAGCCTCCTGCTTGATGGTAACCCCCTGGGGCAGGAGCCATGTCTTAGAACTGTGTGTAGATAAGAGGGATCTTCAGAAAGTTCATGGAAAACGTGTATTGTGAAAAAACTATGCAGGGAGTGTAAAAGTTTTTTGCACCAAAATAAAATCCTACTAACTTGTTACAACATGTCTGCACAGAATCTAGTCTGAGGCACTGGGAAGGGTGACACATCAGTTTGAGAAGACCCCCTATCAGAGCAACATGAATTCTGCAAAAATTGAAGCAAGAACAAGCATCAAGTGTACAGTGAGGCTCAGGTGGAGGGATGGTGACATCACTGATGCTTCACAAAAAGTTTTTGGAGACAGTGCGCCAAGATAACAGCAGTTTACAAATGGATGACTCATTTTAAAAGAGGGAAGAAATGGTGGTGAAGATGAAACCTGCAGTGACAGACCAGCCATATCAATTTGTGAGGAAAAAATTAGTCTTGTTCGTGCCCTGATTAAAGAGGACTTACAATTAACAACAGAAGCAACAGCCAGCACCACAGACATCGCGCTGGGTCAGCCTACACGATTCTGACTAAGACAGTTGAGCAAACTCTCTGTTCAATGGGTGCTGAAACTTGTGCTCAGATCAGCTGCACACAAGGGCACAGCTTTCAATGGAAACTTTATGTGGGTGTGGTGTTGGTTGGTTGGTTTTTGGTGGCTGGCTGGTAATGGAATTTTAAACAAGTGGGATCAAGGTCCTGAATCATTTCTTTGAAGAACTGTAACAGGAGATGACACGTGGTTTTACCAGGACAATCCTGAAGACAAAGCACAATCAAAGCCATGGCTACCAGGAGGTGGAAGAGGTCCAGTCAAAGCCAGAGCAGACAGGTCAGGGACAAAGGTCATGGTGACAGTTTTCTGGGATGTTCAAGGCATTCTGCTTGTTGAATTTCTGGGCGGCCAAAGAACAATAACATCTGCTTATTTGAGAGTGTTCTGAGAAAGTTAACCAAACCTTTAGCAGAAAAATGCCTGGGAAAGCTTCACCAGAGAGTCCTCCTCCACCACGACAGTGCTCCTGCTCACTCCTCTCATCACACAAGGGCAATT